AGGAAATGTCGGCCGTTGTCTACCGACTTCAATGCAGCTGCGGAAGTTGCAACTACGTTGGGAAAACCGGCCGACGGCTGCAAACGCGAATGCACGAGCATAAGTTGGCCGTGCAAAGGTTGGACCCAAAGTCGGAGGTAGCAACCCATGCCGCGCAAATGGGACACATCTTCGACTTTGACGCCGTTGAGATTGTGGGCCGTTGCAGCGATCACACAGCAAAGCAAGTGCAAGAAGCCTGGGTGTCCACCGACCGCTCTGTCAGCCGCCACATCAATTTGCCTCCCCCCCATTCTGACTTTACGAACCTTCTTAGCGGAGGACAGTCACGGCGCGGGACAATCGAGGTCGTCAGTCATCACCGCGGCCGACAGGGGCGATTCAGGTCACGGTGACATGCGGGTTGGATGCAGCCACACAGGCGGCATTGGCGGATCACGCGCCATAATAAGGAGTGCTGTGCACAGGACCTCCCAGTCCCTGAAGATGGGTAGACGAATAAACTACCCGAAACGTCGGATCCCAAATAAACCCCTCCCGGTGAACGCCCTCTCTTCTTTTGATATGCCACCTGGGAATCGGATTTTCACTACTATTGACTTATTTAGGTGTAATTTACCGACCACTGCCTGTCAAGCTGCAGCGCAAACGGTGGACATTGTCGTTCTTCATATTCCAGCTGTTTTGTGAGTGCGTGTGTGTGCCCCTCCTCAGCCGTCAAGGGTGACGGTCCGGCCAGAAGCAGGGCTACGTGCCACTGTTCTGGATCTAAAGGTCTGTAAGCGTGGGCTATGCCATGATCAACAAACCATGGCACCGCGGCCTGGTATGCGCTGGCAGTTCTCTTGCAGCCGGTTTCCTGTCGGTAGATGCGCTGGCGCTCCCGCTGGGAGATACAGGTAGTGAGCATGGCTGCCCAGTCATCCTCGTCTTTCTGGTCCGTTTTGGTGGTGTTGATGTTTCTAGTTAAAATCCCGACCAAGTGGACCAAAGGAGTGTAGAGTGGAGATCCAAGATGCGGGTTCGACAGGGCCATCCACCTGCGCCCTTTCTCGACTCCGGTCGCCTTGACTCTGTCTTGACACCCAGCTCAGATGGAGGAGGTAGGGGGGGGGGGGGCGTTAGATGCTGCGCAAGTTTGCTTTCACTATAAAATAACTCACGCGCAAGTCACTGTGCCCGCTTCACCTTGCTGTAGAGCGCACTGTGGGCATCGTCGGGAATGACGGTCGAACTCTCGTGTGACCCCCGGACGGGTCACGCACGCTAGACCAACAGGCAGGCCAGATCAGAGACCGGCGGCCGTTAACGGGAATGCGCAACTATAACAAATGCCGAAATTTGGGGTGGGAGGAAAGACAAGGCCTTCAGACTCATGCAGCGCAAGTTTGGATACGAGTAACTCCCCGTATTTTTATTATTGTTTTAAATCCTTGTCACATGTTTGCTATGGACCAGGAAGTGTGGCGGACCATTTAGGTGAGAGCTCTCGATGTGACAGCCACCTGTGGCCTCTCCCGCTTCCGGTCTACTTCATTTGGTGAAGGTTGGAAGGAGAGAGTTCTGTAGATGCTGCACAAGTCCACTAACACTATTAGTTGGTTAACACTCAAATTACCGTCCCTGCTTTAACCATGCTGTGGAGCATACGGTGGACATGGTCGAAATTGATGGTTTTACTGTCGTGCGTGTGTGACTGCGTGCCATACATAGGGGTGGCGAATATGGAGATGCCTTCACCGCCCCAGCCCTTGCATCGGTAACCAGGCATGCCCGTGTTACCGTCTGCTCAATGTGCACCGCTCTTTGAAACTGCTTCTCGAGTGAAACCTGTCCGGCTCTGTTACCACCCAGTGACTTCTTTCCTTTATGGTTTTGCAAGCTAAAGGTCTTGCATGGCAGCTTGCTTGAGTAGGGCGCATTTATTGGCACAGAAAGTCTGCGTAGTATTTACCTCTATGGAAGGCAACTTCAAAACAATAAAAGTTCCTAAGGAATGAGATTTCAATTAGTTGTGTCTTAATGCTGCGTTTTTACTTGAAGTTCGTTGCACACAATAAAGGACTCTTACCCGGCTGGTAGTAAGTACAGCCATCATAAGCTATAGCTTAGAAGGCATAGTCCAGTCGAAAAATGTTTGAACACCTACGACACTTAAACACCATGTAGTACGAAAGAAGTAGAAGCGATCGCTGGAGCAAGGGCTTTATTCGCCTAAAGTTTCGGATTCTCATGTGAACCAGAGACAGCGTCAGAAACGGGTGATCCGTGCACAGGAAGTTGCAGTATTTACAGAGTGCAATCGCCATGCTACTGCATACCTATGTTAATTAACCCTTCATCAAGAATTGTTGCCCGCTGGTGCGCTAATTGCTTGATGGTCAGTATGAAAGTTGTTAATTGCTGAAATCTCATCATCCGTGTTGGATGTTGACTTGCTGACTGCTCGGCCACCTCGCTCACCGAACTGCGCACCCTCCGAGTGGTTAATTTCTTTGGCCAGACTATGCCTCGGTACGGAATATGGAGTGGGGTTGTCGCTGCACTTGTTGATAGACCAGGACTCAAGCAACTCGCACCTCACGCGATTATCCCCTCTTGCAATTAGCGCACCAGCGGACAACAATTCTTGATTAAGGGGAGAGCAGTTAATTATCATAGGTATGCGTTAGAATAGCGACTTTGTCCTGTAAATACTGCAGCTCCCTGTGCACGGATCACCCGTTTTTGCCACTGTCTCTGGTGATTGTTTCAAGTGAGATTCCGAAACGACAGGCGACTAAAGCCCTTGTTCCAGCGATCGCCTCTCTATCTTCTAAACTAGTTCCTTGAGTTCGCATCTTTGCTTGTATTACCATGTAATGCTTTAAATATCGGCAACTGCTAAAGTAACAGAGACACTTTCCGTATGCTGATAACTAGGACGCACATTCAGGACGTCAACTAATACGGAACTTCAAATACTCAGAAGGTTTCCGTGGGCTATTTCTCATTGCCTCGCATACATTATCCTTCTTATCTCAGCGTAGTAGCACGTGAAGAATGAACGGTATGAGATGATATTCCTTCATCTTTTTTTGAAGTATTTTAAGACTGTTTTAGAGTTGCGCAAATTCCCACGGCATTATTCAGAAAACCACTTGACGAGCATCTGGTTGTTTCCGATAAATGCTCTTCAGGCCAGTGGGAACGGTGCAGATGTAGAAACATGTCAGCGATAAGAGGAATCGATCAACGTTCGTCTTAAAACACAGGCGGGGTGTGGGAATGTGGCGGAGGGGGTGGGGGTAGGGGGGGCGGGAGTGGTAATAGCAGTCAGTGTCAGGGGCGGGCAAGAGCGGAATGGAGGGGAGAGCTTTAGGGATAGTCGACCTTTGACCACGGTACATTCGAAGCCTGAACTTGGTCCTTCTGCGCTCACAAGATCGGTCTTTGTAACATGATGGCGGCTGCTTCTGCTGTTGACAGCAGACGCTGGACCAATAATTTAGGGTACCTTGATGGGACCTTGCAAATCGCTCGAAAGACGCTGCTCGAACGGCGCTGCTTATGTCAGGCAAAACCAGCGTAAAAGCCGAAAAGCTTTTATGAACCCCACGTAAAAACGCGGCATCAAAATGCGACAAATTAGAAATTGAACGTTTTCATTGATTACCCATTCATTGGCATCCTCAAGCCAAAATTTACATTCTGCTGAAAAGAGGTCAACGAAGAATTTAGACGCACACTATATCATTTTCTGTCTGTGTTTATGGCAGTTCTACGCAAAAGGTTTGCTCTGGAACGAATGTCTCGATTTGTGGCCAGACATTTGAACAGATTTCACAAGAAAAAAGTAGATTCAAAAAGGTAATGAATTTATGAATGCCGTAGTTAATCCTCCTAGTTAATAAAATATCGGAACCACTTAGTGAATTCTGGTGACTGGGATGCACTTGTAAGACTAATTTTTTCCATGAACTTTAGGGAAGATCAAGAACATACGCACCGCAGACCGTCGTTCCAAGTGTTCATTATCTTCGGCAGGCAAGTTTATGAATTGGCGAGTACACTTATGTGACCCGAACCGCCATCTGCATAAAAGCGACATTTTGGCAACACACTTTGCAGGTACAAGTTTTCAAGAACTGCCTCATATTTAAGGATCTTCTTCATAAGTAAAAAGATAAAGTTCCTATCTTTTCAGCAGTCGATTGAGAATATCACCAACAAAAGAGTATTCTCGAACTATTTGCGCACAGCCCGAAACTCAGTTGACCCCTCCGTCTCCGAAGACCGCACAAAAAATGGTCTGTTAAGGACCGAAACAGAGGCGTGCTTGCAGTTCCGTGCCTTGGAAAAAATCAAGCTAATTAACAAGCCTAATATTAAATTATTTTTTGGGAATATTTTATCATATGTGATATGGAAGGAATATTTTTTAACGCAGCTGTGCTCCTGATGTTTTGCTTACTCGGGTGACTGCACAAACCGGCTACAAAAATTAACTTCTTTCCCTTGGCATCGGGTTTTTGGTGTATCCGGATTTCTTCCCAGATTATTACTCATAACCACTATAATGCCACTCCGAGTGTCTATCTTGTATTTATATTTAACCGAAAGTCGCTCATCATTAATCGGGAGCATTGATAGTTGCTTTTGGACTGGTCTACAATTGATTAAGAAGTCTTGTTAATTTACACACGCTTAATGAATTGCACGACCTACTGTAGGCCAGGTTTAGACGCGGAGAATTACGTCTGATATACCATGACTTCCCTGAAAGCTCGACACCCAGTAATTTATAAGGAATGTTATTTTGTGTTTCGCCATCACACTTTGGCTGCTTTCTTCATTTGAAAAACAAAGATACTTATTGTAAAAACTGGCGAACGGTTTATTTTTAATGCCAGTTGAAAATAATCCTGACAAAAATAGGAGCTCTTTGACCGCGCAAAGTAAAGTACTGACGGTCAGTTTTTAAAAAAAACAGTAACAGCAGTTAAAACGCCATGGGGCCTCTAGGAGCGTACAGCTCGCAGTCCGTCACCTGCATCGCTTTCCTCTTCCCTACAAGCGTCTGTCCAATCTGGAATGTCCACCTGCTGTGCCAGTGATGTACGCTGCGGCCGCCCTCGACAACAGGCACATCGTCTCTCTCGAATACAGAGGACAATCAGCGCGATCATCAGAGGCAGCGGAGTGAATAGGGCCACGACCAGGGGCATCACAGCACCAATATCCCCCTCCGGTTGAGGCATCGAGTAGATCAACACGAGGATGGCTATGCCAATATTCTGAATGCCCGTCTCTATGGCGATAGTGAGAATTTCGGCGCGAGACCTCCGAAGCAGGCAGGCGACAAGGCCGGCGGCCAGAAAGCCGATCCAGGGGAGGGTGGCGGCTGTGGGGAGGAGCAGTGGGTAGGGACCAATCAGGGCGTAGATGGGAAGATTCACGTACGTGCCGAAACCCACCAAGACCGCGATGAAAGTCAGTGACATTGGTCGCATCAACGGCTGGACTCGAGTGGCCATCTTGGGAAGGTAGTATTTCATCAGCATCCCAAGAACCACGGGTACAACAACGTAGAGCAACTGAATAGCAATCTCCTTATAGGGAATCTGTATCTGATGTACGTCAAGGAAGAAGCGGCCGTAGATATAAAGCGTCAGCGGCATCATGCCTTCAAGAGAAAAAGAGCCAACTGGTCAGTGGGGACGCAAAAAGGGAGTGTTATTCTTAACTGACAAGAGTTTGGATACATCGGCTCAAACTCTCCCTGTAGATTCGGCATATGAGCATTTACTAAAACCACGAAGTCGACTGGCTCTTTAACGGGGCGGTCTATGAAATGGTGCACCCACTGAATATGCACTGTTCAATCGATTTATATTTTTGACATCGCTCCGAAAAACCAATTGTTCATAATGGCTGAGTAGGCGTTATCTTTCCTTGTAGGACCTCCCGTTCCTGTGACTAGCTGGTGGACACCGATGGCTTTCTTCATGACTACACAGAAATTTTCCAAAATGTGCCTTCTCATGCCACCTTGATAATGATCTATCGACGCGTGTACATATTCGCGTTTAGTCGCGTCACTTATACTCCAAGTCTGGCAGTCGCCATCACTTCTAATTATATCATCTCGGAAAGCATAATTTCTCAGTAATTATGTTACTCATTTATCATAATTGATATTCCCGATCACGGCTGACAGGAAAACAAACCCGTGGCCCAACGGTATGAGCCGCAAAGCACAATTGAATGAGCACATTCCGCAACCTGATCGGCGAACGCCCATCTGTCAGATATATATATATATATATATATATATATATATATATATATGACTGGCTGATGACGGCTAATAAGCCAGAAATGGCCATTCCGGTCTCCCTTGTCTTTGTCGGTACCACCTTATTTACATCATTCTACTAGTCGCTGTGCGACTGCCTGCGAGGGTTCTAGTATGAGCCCCAAGGCACAACGGAACGAGCATGTTCCGTAACCCGATCGGTGAACGCCCATCTGTCATAATTGATATTCCCGATCACAACCGACAAGACAACGGGCCCGTGGCTCAATGGTAGAGCGTCAAACTCCATGACCAAAGATCCCGGGTTCGAATCTCAAGTGACCCACATTTGGGGTTGGGTATGACTGGCTGATGACGGCTAATAAGCCTGGAATGGCCATTCCTGTCTCCCTTGTCTTTGTCGGTATCATCTCATATATATAGGCAGAATGGTATTATCGACAAAGGTAGGGGAGAGTGGAATAGCCATTTCTGGCTTATTAGTCGTCGTCAGCCAGTCATAGCCAACCCAAAGTGTGGAACACTTGCGGCTCGATCGCGCGATCTGTTGATTAGAAGTCCAAAGTCTCTAACCAGTGGGCTTCTGACCAACAGGTCGCGGTATCGAGACGCAAGTGGTCCACACTTTGAAGCTGGACATGATTGGCCGACAGTGGCTAACAAGCCCGAGATGGTTATTCCGGTATCCTTTGCTTTTGTCGATAGAACCATTCCACCTATTCCATACCCCCCCTGTGAGGCTGCTACTTGGGCTCAAGGGGGAGATTCCAACGGCACAGCGGGATGAATGAGTTCTGCAAAAACAATTAGTGAGCGCCGCTCTACCATTACATATATATATATACGCATATATTTAATTAAGCAGATGTGAAATCTCGGCGATCTCGGTGTCATTTAAGTTCACTACAAAAACGACAAGGTTTGAGCACAGATGAGGTTCTAACTACCTAAACTAATATGACTCAAACAGAAGCCCTTAATTTAATTACATTTGGGCCAAGTTACCCGCCCAACCCCCCGAAAGTTTTGGAACCCGCAGTAAGCAGGGTTTCCGAAGCAGTCAATCTAGAATCTAGCAGATGACCGACAAACACACATAGTTAAGTGGTGTTTTGACAGATTTGAATAATTTCCTCGAACCATTTGTGAAATCCCGGTGACTACGATGGGATTCGAACCTATGAAATCAAGTTTAACGCATAAGCACACCTGGTGGGGGCTTCGGAAATCAGAACTAGGGCCTGAAGAAGAAAACATGGCACTCGTCTTATGCAAAAATATTTAGACTGGGCACTTTCTGTTTTCTTTCGCTCCTTCTACACGACTGGGGCAAAAATTTCAAAAAAGCGACTTACCTAGAGCAGCAATGCTGCTGATAAACGTCATCGTCATACTGAGGTTAAGATCGCCGTGCAGCAAGAGTGTCCAGACGTTGGAGCCACCGCCACCGGGACAGCAGCCGGTAGTGAGGAGTCCAAAACCAAATTCTGGTTTTATTGGCACCACCATCGCAATCCCGAATGAGATCTGCGGAAAAGAAGGTGATCAAGTTTGCTTCAGTCCAAGGTAGTACTTCCTTTGCGTTCCGACAGTCTCGACAAATTATCATCAAAAATGTGCACTTACGTAGTAAGTTTACTTCTATTTGAAAATGGAAAGACCGGTGTTATCAGTCTGTTGAAAATGGATAATAAAAGCGTCTTCTTGAAGAAGGAGACAGGATTGCTCGAACCCATCATCAGAGGCAATAGCAGATACGGGTGGTTCACGCATAAGTGGCTGCAGTATTTTAGGATCCAGTAGCCATGCTACCGCATACCTATGACTATTCAGGGCTCTCCCCCTCCCTTCATCAGGAATCGTTGCACTTGGTGTGAAAACTGTTTGATGGCCGACATTCGCATCGTTAAGTGCTGCAATTTCATCTCGTGGGTTGCATGTTGGTGGGATGATTGCTAGACCATCTGACGCGCTGACACTGGTGTTGGAAAAAGGGTTCACCTGTGCGCTCCCCACGTGGCTAATTACTCCGCCTAGGTGAAGTCTCAACACCCAAGTATAGAAGGGGAAGTTCATTGCACTTCTTAATAGACTGGGGGCCAGTGAGCCATGACTCAAGCAACACCCGGCTCACGAAGGTGTCACCCCTTACGAAAATTTCGGCCTCATCGAATTTGAATGTGTGATCGGATCTCGTCGAATGAGCCGCAACTTAAGAGCTAGCGTCATTTCTCCGCACCGCTGCAGCGTGTTCGGCCCTTCTCATTCGGAGCTGTCTTCCGGATTCTCCGACGTAGTTGCGTCTTCCGCAACTACACCAGATCCGACAAACGACTCCAGACGTTTCTAGCCGTGGCAGCGGTCTTTCAGTTTCATTACCAGACGCCTGATGGTGGCCTCCGGTCTGTGCGCAACTCCAACCCCAAGTGGCGCTAGATGGCGGCCGTCAGCTTCTGAAACATTCTTGACGCACGGAATCACTCACTAAAATTTCGCGTCCTTGCGGTTAGTCCTTTCGTCCCTTTTGCGTATGCACAGGCTGATGAAGTTGTGTGGGTAGCCATTGGCTTTGAAGGCCCGTCGGAGGTATTTAGGTTCGGCAATCTTGTCTTCCAGCTCACTGCAGTGCGTTTCGACACGGCGATAGGGCGTCCTTACACAACTGCGTTTGTGACTGATTGGGTGGTTGCTGTTGAAGTTCTGTACTTGCATCGTATTTGTCTTCGCTGTAGGAATAAGTAGGACAGTGCATCATTAGAAATCGTTGGATTGCCTGCCTCAGGCCTCTTTGTGGCCGAACTTTCATCCCTTCTCTTGGTTACTGATGTGCGATTTACTCGAAAATGTTCTTCGACGACAGTTCAAGTCGCGCGTCCCCGTCTGACTTTGTCCGAAACGAATTCTTAACATGCATGAGAAGGCGTAAGATCATAGATATGAACTACGTGAACCTGATAGTCATTTGGTGGATTCTTGGTGAATTACTTAGGAAATTCTGCTTGGGCGGTCAAATTTCTGTATCAGATTTGGTGGATTCCAGACGTTGCATTAGGTTGGGCGGGTAACTTGACCCAAATGGGATTAAATTCGCATTGTCCGGCGGGGCCTCGTAGCTCAAGCGGTTAGAGCATTTGCTGTACTAAAGTCTTCCACTTACTACGTGCGTTTGAATCCCACCGAGGCGCCGAGTTTTTCACATTTGGGTCAATATAAATTATTCAAAATCTGCCAAAATATCTGGGGATTTAGGGTTTATCTGTTTTTCGGGCTTGTCGCGTTCATGAGATGCAAATGCAGTCATTTCTCTAATGCTGTAACACCTTGAGGAATATTATGCGAGCTTGTTTGCAAAATTTTTGATATTTTATAAGTTGGGTCGGCTAAAGTTTGTTTAACGAATGACTTCTAGAATGATCATAGGAAGAACTCAGAGTCAAGCGTCGGGATACGACTTCGTAATAACGAAATCATTGATATGAAAGATTACTACCAAACCACTATTTCATAGGAAAGCAGCACATGTGTCAGCCAAATTTTCTGCTCTCGCCGGGCACAATTACATGGCTTTTAGTTCTCCAGTGTGCTCCTTACGTCCTCCAGTTGATTCCTGATATGAATGATGAACGTTTTAGACAGCATTACTTTGGAAACTATCACTTCCGATCAATTATCTCCGCATTTTGTCCCATCTTGTGTGTGTGTTCTGAGTACGTATATTGCATTGGAGGTTTTGGAAAAACTAAAAAACCAACTAGCCAATCAAATTTCAAGATTTGTCTGCCATGGTGGGATTAGATCCCACCACAGAAAGAGCAAACCTTCAGTAAAGTTAACTCAAGACCAACCAAGGAAAATTTTTTCTCTCACGAATAAGTCATTTTATTCGCCTATTTGGGCAGGTTAAAATGATGTTTGTAATTGGACTTGAGCAGTTCTAAGGGTAAAGGTCGCAGCGTTCACCTTCACCGAAGAAAGTAATTTTGATTATCAGAGGAAGCGTTCGAAATAACAGTTGATGAGCTGAAACTCACCAGTGGCATGATTCCGAATTGGCAGCAAAATCCAATGAGTGGCCCTACGGGCCTTTTAAAGAGCTTCCATATCAGACGTGGATCCAGATTGCATCCCATTAGGAAAGTAATTCCAATGACCAGAAACGTAACTACTCCCCTAAAGACCACCTCCACTACTCCGCGCTTTCGTAAAATTCTAACCGGGAGGCCCATGAAGGAGCCGCTACTGCCGAACTCACTCCTGTTCACCAGCGTCGATAAGTAGGTCTCCACGCGCAGAGGGTCAGACCGGCTCCAATTGTGCCACACATCCAGACCGGATCCACTCTGTTCTATGGCTTCATGAGCCCAAATTCTCAGGTAGGCTACACCCATGCGCACCCCTAGGATTGTCAGGTTCAGGGGGACGGTCATTCGGCCAAGCGAGGTAGGCTGTAGATGCAGCCAAAATGCAGGAGCTAATTGGGCCACTGGTGGGTAGTCAATTTCGAAGGAGAGAGCGATGGCCACTGTGAGCTCGTATGTCAAATTGCACGTCACTTGTTGCGGGGCTTTCTTTTGCTCAAAAACGAACTCCGACTTATTGCAGGAGATGTTCAGGACCATCCGGCCGTCTTCCGACTTGAATTGGGTGAAGAGCAGGCCAGGGTCACCATAATTGTTTTTATTTGCATTCACTTCGGCGTCGATGCGTTCACGCTCAGCTCGATCTCGCGGATCGACGACGAGGCCGCCTATTGACTCCTGTACGTATCCACCACCGAAGCCCATCACCTCGGTTGTTTTCAGAGTTACAAAGAGACAGAGAAGCAGAGGCGGATACTGCATTCTCTATGCCAACGTTCGAAGCAATGTCTGCTTTTGCCTGACCACCCGTTCTGCAAGTACGCACACAAGTAGGAGAAAATAATTTCCATCAAAAAATCTGGCTGGTAAACGCAGACTGGGCCAATCCGATTGCTCACGTGACTCTCTAACCACTTGCACGCAAATTAGAAGCAACCACCAAGCGCCAGGTTGCGAGATAAACGGGGACTCATTACAACGACGTCCAACAGCGGACTCAGACTGACTGGTGGGTGGTTTGTTAAGCTCCGAGATGATTCGAAAAGGTGGTATGCTGCAGAACGCGCAGTCAATATGATCCCACTTATTTGTTCGCGAAGTTCTTTCCAGCACGAGTCAAACACGCATCTTGGGGACTTTTAATTGGCCTTTGACGTAACTGTGCCCCAAAATCATGGGGCGCAATCGAATGTTACTTAGGTCATCAAGGTTCCTTGGCGAAACTCACCCTGGAAGTAGGCAACCTGATTCTACATAAAATATTCGTAAATAAACGAAAAGCCCTCATAATTACGAATTCATTCATAAGCTCATGCATTGCCAGGCAAGGAACCAAGTAAATGAAGCAGCATGAACAACCTTTTGGATGGCCAGCGGGTGTATTATTCTTTAAGGATTAGTTCAGCAGGCCTCGTGATACTTAAATCTGTTTTTTGCGACTGAAATCCACAGAAAGGGCTTTTGTTTGGTTTTATTGTCAACGACACAGCATGACTAGACGTCTTTTTTTCTATCCGTATGCCGATTGGCCGGCTGTTGACTAAGAAATCTGGATATAATGAACAGGGCACGTCCCAAGCTTGCCACTTTTTTCACGGAGGTCCTATTTACTGTCTGTCGATTATTAAATTCCTGAAATCCCTGGGCATCGTTCAGGTATCAACGAGTGCATTGTGGTTTTCGACGTTCTAAGTTTTTACTCACAGATAACCGTTTGAGCCGTGTTTGTACATCAAATCAAATGCGAGACCTAACTTCCGCGGAAAATAGACATTCAAAACGAGGATCTGCGAGCATGGTGCGCATTCACCAATGAGGGAGTCGCTGAACACAGCTGCCCTGGGTCATTGCTTAGATAAATGACCATGCTCTCCAATCCTTCTCATTGGCAGGTCAGCGAAAAAGCTGACTACCTAGCACATATGCCTATCTTAAAAGGGATGGATGGAGTCAGGGCCCAATTTGAGGGAGGTGTTTGTTTTTTTATTTTTAGCACAACTGAGAGTTACTGCAGCATAGATTAACGTCGGCGCGCCTCTTGGTTAGATCACATCGCAGAAACAATCGCACAGACAAATTACTTTCCCAAAGGGGTCTGTTCCGAAGAATTTACTCCACGTTCGCGCATTATTGTACTCGGTGATTAAAAAAGACGAACTCCTTCCCGTCATCTGTTCCGGGAGAAATGATGTAGACTGGATCATCGGTCGAAGCCTCAACTGCTAGTTCCGCCGTTTAGCTCCATCAAACCCGTTCTAATACAGGAAGCAATAAGTACATCCTGCTTTGCCTTATAGCTCTAATCCAAGGTCCTGCAGATGTACGTATACTGCTATAGAACCCGTTTCAAATGGGCGAAAATTTGATTTTAAGCTCAGATTGGAACAGTCGCCTTCACTCCTGTATTTGGTCAAGTGGAAGAACATATTTTTACATTCCTGCTAACGCATGACACCATCCACCCCGTTCTTTGAATGCCAGTTGTATGTACAGTAGATGAGCTAACTCATGAAATGTCAACCGAAATTCGTTTTCGTTTCGAAAAGATTAATTAGGAAGCGTTTTAAAACTGGTCAGCCTGTCTTCTTTCATATTTACTGCGTTTTGGTATGAGAATACATTCTTTACATCCGAAAACGAACTTTACGTAATTTGAGCCATTTCTGACGTTTTTGGGATATTGCGCTTTTCAAAATAAATCGACATTTCTAAACAACGCAACACTACCTATAATATTTCTTTAATGTTTTTAATTCTTTTAAACTTGTACTTAATTAACACAGATACTTGACTCATGAAATGTTGTCGGTTTGCTAGTGATTGTCAATCATTCGTAAATGTCGACACATTTCATGAGTTAGGTCATAATTCTATAATATTTCAGTTACCTCAGGATGCCGGCTTTCGAACAAACTTCCTTTCGGCTGCATGCAACAACTTAACTTTGCAAAAAGTACCATGTAAGTAGCATGAGTTTTTCTCAGAGATTTTCAATGCCCTTAAAAATGCAATTATATTTCATGATAAGCATGTATAAGAATATTTATTTATCTGCACAGTCAGTGGAAAATTACGTCTTCTTCCAACCTTATACTCGAAGGAAGTGCATAATTCGGTTTTCAATAAATTTTCCAATTCCCGAATAATTTTGAAACCGTTCTACCGTTACACTTGGATTCAGGGTGTCCAAACCACAAGCCGTATATTTTTCGCGCACGGAAAACCGTACATTTCTATACGGTACTAAAGAGAGACCATATTGAGTTCATAAAATTCAGCAATGGAATTGGTCCGTGTTGTTAACTTCACAAGCCACATAGGTAAATGCAGAGACACGACGTTTTATTAACGGCCATTTCACGGTATTTAAAAGTTCCCCAATTAGAAACTTTATTAAAACCGTGTAATGCCCCTCCTTCGAAAAGATACTTAGAAGAAGACGTAATTTTCTGTCGAAGGAGTAAAAGACTGAATATTTATATGTATCTTTTCCATGAAATATAATTGAACTTTTAGGGGCATCGAGAATCATTGAAAAAAATTTGTGGTATTCTAGTAGTCATTTGTATAGAGTGTAGTTTTTGCATGCAGCCGGAAGGAAGCCAGCATCCTGATGTAACTCAATTATTATAGAATTATACTGCAGACCCACAAGTTTTACAACCCTACTTAATTAGACTTTTCGAAAAGAAGACACATTTCGAAATTTCGGTAGGCATTTCATGAGTTAGCCCACCTACTGTACTCACCTGGGCGATGACGGTTTTTAAAGCCTCACACGGATAAAAGTAGTAAGGATAAGAGCGAATGTGTTGGTGATAGTTTTGTTTTTGATAGCACTAATGGTGATTTTTGGGAGCTGTGCTGATGATATTGCAGTTGGCAGTGGTGGTTGCTTGGATGCTATTAATTGCCTTCCTGATCGAGTCGTTTGGAAGAATATAATGGAGGTTTTGGTTCTGGTGGTGGTGGTGTGCTTCCCGACAGTGTAATCATGGTAAATGATCTTGGATGTGTTCGAACCGAGTACGTGAAAGAGCGTAACCTAAACAGTGCCAAAAGCACCGTCTTAGACGGTCGGCTGGCTTAATATTTTCCATGAATCAGTCTAATGTGCATTACGGGAGCCAGTAAATTGTACTACTTTTATCGGAATTCACCGAAAGTATTTTATAAGAATGAGTTTTTTGTTTTTTGCATGGTTCTAGATGCTGTTGACGTTAGCAGACAGCGATTTTGCCTGGTTTCGTGCGTACGGATCTCGCAAGACCAAAGGTCTATATAGGGCTACATATCGGCAGACCGATCGATCACTGGGAAATTAGACTACAGTCGGAATAGGAAGTCATTGGTGTGGCATTTCCTGTGATGATCGAATTCGCAAACTTTCAGATCTTTCTCAAAATATCGGCAAATAACTGGAGGTCTCCGATGGGTTCATTCAGATGTCCTAAATATGGGTTTCGCGGTTGTTCATAACCAGTGCTTTCGAAATAAAACAAATCTATACAAGTTTTTTCTGCAGGATAGTATACATAGTCAACCTGAGATGAAAGCCTCCACAAGGCTAGAAGTCTAGCGGCCAGATAGGAATTAAAAATTCAGATACAATCAGCAGAGTATATTCTGCACGAGTCATCTTTTGCCTATCGGAGGTATTGTTTTTCATGAAGACGTCGTTTGTTCTTCGTCGATAACTAACTTCCTCAAAGATTTGTTTGTCCTAGAAATATCAGTCAGTACATTAGGTTAACGCGTTTAAGGAAAAACAGATTCCGAAGGCTTTTGCCTGTACACCGAGGCGTC